ATTATTTCTATTGTTTCTACAGTTATATCAGCTATAAATAATGGAAACAATTCCAAAGGGTTTGGACAGGCTCGGCCACTAGATAAACGTCCAAATGCCCCTCATTGTTCCGAGGAAGAACGCCATCAGCGTCTCAAATCAGGTCGATGTATTCGATGCAATGTATTTCCATCGCACCGTTTTAGAGAATGCAAGTTTAAAGGTTTTCGCTCAGAAATGTCCAATCTAAGGATAGCTTCTGCATCAATAAGCGAGTCGGAAAACTAGCAGCCCCTGTACGAAGTCGTGTTCAGGGGAATGTTGGTGTGTTTGGAGAACTACTAGATCAAATACCACCTGCTAGCGAAATTAGGGAGGCTGTTGAAAGGTTGAATAGTAGTCCATTTTTAATTGATATTTTAATAAATTCTACTTGTTATTCCACCGCACTCTTTGACACAGGATGCCTACCCTACGCAGTTTTTGATCGTAGTTTTGCAGACCAGGCACACTTACCACGCCTTCCAGTCACCCACAGATCTCTAAAGCTCGCCAAAGATGGACCTCAAATTCCCATTACCGAAATGACTTGGGCTACACTTGACATTGACGGTAGAGCTGAAAGAGTATTTGGCTACATAGTAGCAAACTTACAATATAATATAATCCTCGGCAAAGGTTGGGCCGAGCGTAACAATGTAACATATGAAGCAGGTAAGAAGTTTCTCACTCTAGGAAGTGGTGCAAACGCAATAAAAGTCAAGGAGTCTGGATGGATGGAACGGGATGAGTTATCAGGCTCTATGCACCAACTACGTCAAGCAAAAAACGTTACAGCTTCAATATTTGCCGCGGAAATCCGTCGTGGAAGAAAAGCAAATAAACATCTACATTTATTCTCCATCACTATAGCAGATATCAACAAGGCCTTGAAAAAATTAGATAACTCAGCGGTCAAGCAAACGGTGGAAGAAATATCAAATCAACTACCTCAGCAGCTTCGACATTTAGCAAAGAACTTTCTAGCTGATGAAGATGGAATCCTCCCAGAATCTAAGCCAGGATGGGACCATTCTATAAACCTTGATCTAGACGATGAAGGCAAACCTAAGGAACCCCCCTCAGGTCCACTTTATGGCATGTCACGAGATGAGCTCCTCGTTCTCCGTAAAACTCTTACAGATTACTTACGTAAAGGATGGATTCGCGCCAGCAATTCTCCTGCAAATGCACCGGTACTATTCGCAAAAAAACCGGGCGGAGGTCTTCGATTCTGTGTTGATTATCGTGGCCTCAATTCGATAACAAAAAGGGACAGATACCCGTTGCCGCTCATCAAAGAAACACTTCAGCAACTCTCCAAAGCCCAATACTTCACAAAACTTGACGTCTGTACTGCATTCCATCGCCTACGTATTCGACCTGGCGATGAATGGAAAACAGCGTTTCGAACAAGGTATGGACAATACGAGTGGCTTGTCATGCCATTTGGATTATGCGGCGGACCAGCTACTTTTCAACGTTACATAAATGCTGTGTTACAAGATATTTTGGACGAATACTGTTCAGCCTATATGGATGATGTTATCATCTATTCTGATGGTGATTTATCCGACCATTATAAAAAGGTTGAAGAAGTTATCAGACGACTCGAAGAATCTGGCTTACGGTTAGACATCAACAAATGTACCTTTGCCACGTCTGAAGTCAAATATCTTGGGTTCGTAATCAAGGCTGGCGAGGGTGTTACAGTTGATCCAGCCAAAATAGAAGCCATCAAAAACTGGGAGGAACCAACGACAGTTTCTGAAACCCGCTCTTTTCTCGGTTTCGCAAATTTTTACCGAGAGTTTATTCCAAAATTTTCGGCCATTGCCCAGCCATTGATCAGTCTCACATCGAAACAAACCCGCTGGAGCTGGGACACGAAAGAAAAAGATGCATTCGAAAAGCTTAAGTCTATGCTATCCTCAGCACCATTATTAGCGCTTTTTTCAGCCGAGAAAGAAACCTATTTGGAAGCAGATGCCTCTGGCTATGCTATCGGTGGGGTTCTTTCTCAAATTGACGAAAAAAATCGTCTAAGACCAGTAGGTTACTTTTCACGTAAATTGACTCCAGCAGAATCAAACTATAACATTCATGATAAAGAACTGCTCGCTATTATAACAACAATGCGCCATTTTGATGGTGAGCTTCGAAGCGTTGAAAATCCTTTTACCGTTATCTCAGACCATCAAAATTTACGATATTTCACAACTTCAAGACAACTTAGCGAACGTCAAGTGAGATGGGCCGAGACCTTGGCAAGGTTTAACTTCAAAATTGTATTCCGGCCTGGCTCCCAGTCCGGTAAACCAGACTTTCTTTCGCGGCGGGCACAAGAAGCCCCGCGGGATACGTCGGACGAGCGGTTACAAGGCCGCAATATCCAGTTGTTCAAAAATAATTTAAGCACGTCTTCACCAGAAGAATTCATCTTAAATACAATAAACATTGTAGACTTTCCGGATATGACCTTGAAACATATTGAAACTGACCAGAATATCATGCCCAGCGGCAAAAAATTATTTGAAGATAAGGAAATTGCTTCTTTGTGGGACGAAGCTCTAGAAAAAGACCAAGCTTTTCACAGTATTCATGCATCAGTCGCTGCAGGCCAGTCTACTTTACCTATAGACCTTAAATTAGGGGTTCAAATGACAGATTGTAGCCTAGATGACAGAGGCGCGTTAACACGACGAGGTGCGCTATGGGTTCCAAATTGGGAGCCACTGAGAACAACGATCATACAACGTTCCCATGACTCAAGTATTACTGGACACCCCGGAAGAGACGGTACCCTTCACATAGTGTCTCGAGCATTTTTTTGGCCTCAACAATATTTAGACATTCGCAGATTCACGCGAAACTGCTCGATCTGTAGTCGATCTAAAGCGTGGCGTCAATGCCCGCAAGGATTACTCAGACCACTCCCTGTACCTGAACGCTTTCATAGTGAGTTGTCGGTAGATTTCATGACAGACTTGCCTGCGCAAAAAGAAGACGACCCCAAATATCTTATGGTTATCACTGACCGTTTACTCAAGAGCTGCACCCTAGAAGCAATGAATTCGATGGAAGCTGAAGCTTGCGCAGAACGCTTCCTAACTTGTCATTATCGTTTTCATGGGTTTCCTAAATTTATAACATCAGACAGAGGGGCAAATTGGGTGGGTCATTTCTGGACTTCTTTATGCAAAATGACAGGTATTAACCAAAGATTGTCGACCGCTTACCATCCGCAGACCGATGGTAGTACAGAAAGGATGAACCAAGAAGTGTTAAACTACCTCCGAGCATTTATTAGCTACTCGCAGATAGACTGGTCTAAACTACTCCCAACTGCCATGTTAGCACTCAATAATAGAAAATCGACAGTTATTGGCACTAGCCCATTTTTTGTTACTCACGGCTATGATGCTGAACCAATACAACAAACACATACTAATTCACGAGCAACAAAATCACCGCAAGCCCGCGCGCGAGCATTCGTAGACCGAATAATACAGGGTCAAAGCATGGCACAGGCAGCTATGACAACAGCACAGCAATTAATGGAAGAATCAGCCAACCATCATAGGAGACCAGCGGAACGTTTCAAACCGGGCGATACCGTCTGGCTAAACCTTAAAAACGTCGAAACCCCGCAACAAAAAAAGAAACTCTCATGGACTCAAGCAAAATACAGAATACAAAAAGAAATTGCACCTGATGTGTATCAACTAGATGTACCAACAGGCATACATAATCGATTTTTTGTAGACTTATTAAGGCATGACCCAAATGATCCACTGCCTTCACAAAAAGTCGATGACACACAGCCGCCCCCGTTAGTTGATGGAAAACATCCGTTGTATGCTGTTGAGAAAATAGTTCGCGCTGAAACAATCAATGGGCGTCGCAAAGTCCTGGTATTCTGGAAAGGGTTTGCTGAACCCACATGGGAGCCTCGACAAAATCTTAAGTTAACAGATGCCTACAAAGAATTTGTCAAGCAGTACGGGGATGGCGACAAAGTTGGTCTTCAGTTAGGGATGTTTACAGGTCGAACATTAAGAAATCGAACTATGCGAAAAAGAAAAACAAATAAATGAAACCGGGGGAGGAAAGTAATGTCATAGGACACTAATCACGTGCTACAATGTACGCTTGGACCAGTGAGGAACCACTTTTATGTGTATATAGTATTGCGTTAGCCACCATGTCTTTCTCTCCTCATAGATTACAATCATATTATTGTTTTGCCTTTTAGTCAGAGTCTTTCCTGACCCTCATGCTATCACACTTAGTGTCTACGCGCCCGAAATAATTGCTGGAGCAGCTTTTCGAGCATGATCCGCGAGGCTCTTCTTAACAATCTCCTCTAGTGCCATCATCCTCTCCTCAATTGGAAACTTCTTCTGGGAAATTTCCGTCCAGGCCCTCTTGTGTGTGTTGAAAGCCTTTACGGCCTCGTTAATATCCTCCATTAATGTTAAGTCCTCCTTATCTATCTCACCTATGACGATTAGCTCAACCTATTTCAATAATTTCCCTAGTATTTCAAGGTTCTTGTCCTTTCGAGATGTCTGCGCTCCGCTGCGGTTGTTTCTGGTCGTCACTGTCGCCTCTTGCGACGCGTCGAAACCGCTGGATTTATCCACACCAGCAACCACACTCGCCATGTTTGATAACGGAAAGCGAGATGACGTATGGAGGGTTAAAAAGATATAAAAATGGGATTCACGATGTCAATTAGATGGTAAAAGAAGCGTGGAACACTGCGCAGCTTTCTTGCAAATATTCTGTTTTTTCATATGCCAACCGACATTAATAAGTTCATTAATTTTCCTGTACGCCATTCCAGATTAGGCAGCCCCACCAACTTCTGCTTGACATTGTAAATTATATAGTACGACAGCCATATTTTTGTCAGTCATAATTATTTCATTGCTAGTCAAGAGGATACAATTTATCTTTGATAGGCGGTAATTTAGAAATTATATGATTCCCTTGAGTACGGCGGCTTCAGCATTCAATATGGATGAGCCAGCAGCTCCGATTACGGCTTATAATTATCAGCAAAATTGGTCTTAATATTTGGGAGAACATACTATTATGACTCAAGGCGACAAATTTGAAGTCAAAAATTCCACTTTCATCTTCTCGGACCCGACCAACACTTATCGCATACCCGTTTTGCAAATTTCTGTCTAGCCTAGGTTGGGGTCTATCTGGTTCATCTGTCACCATTATGGCAGGTTTAGGTGCCGAAGGACATCCTATTTCCTCTGCAATACTAACGTACTCTCTTAAGGCCTTTTTTATTTCTTCGACCGTTGGTAAAGGTTCAGATCTTTTTCGGAACTTAAGTGAAACACATGCCATATGTCCATCTAACACTGCTACTCTGTTGCACGCAGCTGAAATCTTCAGTTCATTTTGATGTAGGATTTCTGTGGCCTCTGGATTTAGTTCTCCAAGTATCTTTTGTGCCTCTGTTTCCAACTTATCTTCTTCACCCGGGATAAAGGGTATCACATTGTCGAGAACATCCATACTGCTGACGCCTGGATATCCAGCTCCAGAGACTGCTTGCATAGTAACAACGCTGACTTGGTCAATGGGTCCAAATTTCGCTTGGATAGCTGCAAATGGAATGACTAAGCCAATTACGGCACAGTTTGAATTACAAACTAGGATTCCTGTTTTTGTGCCGAAGTGTTTTCGCTGAGAAGGAATCAAGCCGAAATGAGATAGATTAACAGTTGGTACTACGAGTGGTACAAGTGGGTTTCTTCTGTGATTCTTTGCATTCGAAAAAACGGCCAGTTCAGCTTTTAAGAATTCCATCTCTGAACACAAGTTAGCTAGTGTTTCACGACTCGATTAGAATCCCACCAATATCTCCTGCAACATTGGCATCGAGACCACTAAAGATAATATCACATTCCAAAAACTCGGATGCTTTGCACTCTTTGACGATCATGTCTTCTACGCCGGGACCCATGGGAGTAGCTTGCTTCCATTTGACAACATCCTTATATTTTCTTCCCGCCGATCTCTCTGATGCACCTATGGCATAGAGCACTAAGAAAGGGTGATTATTCAAGAGGAGGACAAAACGCTGACCAACTGAGCCAGTGCATCCAAGTACACCTGATATAAGAGGAATCAGGAAACTGCTTGGTAACTCGTCAACAATGGTTTGAGAACTCACCGCATTTTTTAGGCGAGATTTTGTTAGCCATAACTAGACTTGAGGACTTTGTTGGTTGAATATCAGCTACGATTAACGAGTCTAGTATTATTCTATCTTACATGATGTAAATTTTATTTAATTTTCGGCAATCAGTTTCTAATTTGAAGCTAGTTTTTTGAAATTCCGTAGGTAACTGGCTATTATATGCTAAATATAATCGTTTCAGTGCATGCTATTAAGAATCAGGATCGATGTTCTGTAGAACGTTTCAAAATTAACCTACATCAATAATATCTCCAGAAACTGTGCCTGTAGTTATAAACGCGTTATTTATGCAAAGTGCTATCAGTGATGTGTGATATGTGATGACACTTTTAAGGAGAGGATAAGAAGGGTTGATAGGTCATGTCTGTATCCTACACCCGGGGGATTTGAAATTTATATGAACCTATGAGCGGATGCATATTTATTTATTATCAGCTCTAATCATGCAGTCATGTGATTCATGAGGACAGGGAATTATGCAGGCTTTGAAGGTGATCCATGCGTACATACACATAAGAAGGGTGGTCTGTCTGGTTGAGCCTAGGAAGTAAACATTAGTGATCTATTTACAATTCGAGATTGAGCCAATAACGTTTACAATAACTAAAGAACCTTTCACATGACAGCAGCGTGCATCTGCCACCTCTGAATCAATTGTCAACTAGCGCCTGTTAGGCCCTGGTCCCTGCGCCCCCGCTTCTTTAAAAATAAAATTTCACTGCTCACTCAACATACAATGTTACCCGCCACCATCATCGTCGTGCCCGCACTATACCAACACTCATTCACGAAGGACAAGACTAAACACCTACACACGGTGTCCTCTACGAACCTGGGAGTGAAATATTCACTCAGTGCTAAGCTCAGTCAAATTTCGCAAAACCGAACAAGTTGGCCCACGAGGCAATTGTTTAAAATACTCAGCCGCTTCAATCTTTCACTCCCAACGAGATCGATTCCTATCTAAGTCTCATCAAGTCTACTGGTACGACCGAGTAAATTCAAATGACTACACCTCTTGTTGACTTTCTCTGGTCTCAGCTAGTCACCAAATACACGCCCACGCCGATAATTACACCCGACGGAGGAAGCAAAGCGTGGCGCACAAATCTGGGAGACAGTTTTTTGGGATGGACGTGAGAGAGATCAGGACAAGCTCACAAGGTGATGCAAAGGAAGGATACAATCTCGAATCACGTGAAATTCTGAAAATTGGAAAGAAGTTTTTACAAATTGAGCTTTTTGCCCGCCAAGACTTCGCTTGCGAAAGTGCAGCTGACACGATAAACACAAGTCAACGATAGAAGGTGCCGTGGTCCGCCTCCTGGTGGTCTTCGGTATAGTTTGAGTAGGCTAGCATCCACTTCACGTGGGGAGGAGACACCTCATACCACATTTTGCGCGGAGAAAATTAAATGGATGATGGAGGCATGTCTGGATAACTCAGGGTTTTTGAGACGTTCTCCTGGGTGGGTATTTACGGATGAGGGTTGACCTGGGGTGAAGAAGAAGCCGCCACAGCTTCACAGTAGTACTTTCAAATGAAATCCGAGGCATGAGTGCTCTTGTATAGTGAGTCATCTTTTCAATAGTTTTTCTCCGATATTGCATCATGGCTTAGATAGCTGCATACTCAATTAAAATCTGGTGCAACAAAACAAAAGAAATCTGGTCGTGCCCTAAGTCGGGGCCATGAATTCCAGGACAAAATTTACATACCCTATCGAATAAGGCGCTATCAGGGTCTAGCCCCTGAAGCGAATATGCGTTCCACTTAACTCCATTACAAACTTGAACCCGTGGCAACAGGGTAAACGCTTACCTACTCTGCAGTTGTGACCAACCCACGTCCCCCATACATTTTCTGGAATGTAGATTCCAAACTCAAAGACCCATCTATTTCCCACGTCGTTTGGAAATCAAGCAAAACTTTTATTAGGTACCTGAGATTGAGCTCTCTGCGCTACAAGGTTGTAAGATTCTTCCAAGTTCTAAACTATAAATTTTCCAAGCGGCCCGCTTTCAAAAGGTGTGTTTATTACACTACTTGAGTCGTAAACTATGTAGCACATTGGACTCCTCCGTGGCCCAGGCCACACCTTGTACAGTGCTCCTATCCTCTTTTATTACTTGTAAGATCATTGATATATTCCCTTGATAAATAGCCATTCAGCTCAGTGTTTACCCGTGGAATTCGGCCACCTTTTCCACGGAACCTTCTACCCAAAAAAATAAAAATGGTAGCTATGGAAACTGCTTGCGCAGGAAAAAGTCCCAAAATACCTGCAGCCCCAGTCAGGCGAGGCCTAGACACTAGGACCACAAAAGGTACGCATATTCATATCTATCTTCCCTCTTTATAACAATCGAAGCCGACTTGATCCAATCCACCATCCCCGTATCGGGTGCTGGATACGCTCCGGAAACTCATTGGATGGCTTCTCCTACATGATCAAGGGTTGGTGATAGGTAGGGCTCCGACCCTACCATCTGATCTAATCGTGGTTAGCTTCATGATAATGGTGATAGGGGATATGTTGAGAGATGAAGACAGTATTGACGGTGAAAGCGTTTGGGAATCCTCATCAAAGTGAGGACGATGTTACTCAATCTTGGCTTCGCAGACTCTACAGTGAGAGCTGGAGGCTCGTAGGGGACACCACTGATAGGTGTTGGGAACAGTCCCCCACGTCCTCCAGAGACCAGTAATAATAACACGCTATCAAGATTGAGAGTCGCATGCTGAAAAAATTAACAAAACAGTTTGTTAGAATTAGTTAGGGTCCAGGAAGCTCAGCCCTAACATTGTTATAGGTTGTAAGTGTTGAAAACAAGCATCCTACAATGTAATTATCACCGACAGAGTACTAATGTGCAAGGGAAGCAAGAAGGTAGGTTCAATAGGGTTTGATTAACTAGCCTCAGAATCTAACGGGAGTAAGTTTTCTATAAGTACCACACTCGATCTCGCTCCGACACGATCAAAATAGCTAGCCTAATGCAGCATCTAGAGTGTGTTATCCTTGCTACGCACTGACACATTTACAATAGCAAGTATATGAAACGTGCCAGTCAAGCAATGGGCAGCTCCAAGGCCATTAGTAACTGCAGCAGAAGGATGCATAGTTCCAGTAGCGATAAAAAGCGCAGACTTGTGTAAGCCTAGTAAGGCTTTACAGGAAAGACGATGACTAGTGATCCTTTAGACAATGCACCTTTGCAAGTTGATTGATAGGGCCTGTATTCTAGCCTTACCAGCAGTACTTACAGTGTGGAGAACTGCTGGGAATATGATACGGGGATAGGGCTGTTGTAGAGTTAAACTTCAATAGAATTAGTGTTCATTGACCGTTTACACTACTCTGTCGATAGCTGTAGAATGATAAGAACAAGATTCAAGAACCAACAATTCCACCTGCTATTTTTATTTATTTAGATAATTGAATGTGTATTCAGCTATAAAGCTTTGACACATTATCGGTGTTATCTATACATGTAAGTTGACTCTTGACGTTAGAGGTACACATACCCTGGATTTCATTTGTAAATGCCACTAGGATGGTTTGTTAGCACAGACAGACACTCGACCCTCCTTCGTAAGTATCAATCAAAGGGAATTTCAAAACCTTTGATTATCCAAACATGCCTTCGTCATCCAAGTACACCAGCACCGCGAGAAGGGCAGTGGAGCTTTTCTGGATTCGAATCAGCCATCTTCTATGTCAAGTAGGATATGTATCCAAGGTATTAAGAATCTACTTACGAGACCGATCAAGACGATGTACTACCGCATCATCCCACCATGGCGATGTTTTTAGTGTCGCCTGCACTCGCAGTTGAAGTCATGTAGTGCATAATGCTCAATTTGAAAAGCGGCTTTCCAAACTGCCAAACCTACACCCGTTGACTGTCACAGGGTGAGGGCATGAAGCATGAGGTGTATATTACGAATGAGTTGTTTGAGGAGATGGGAAGAGTTTGTCTAGTTACATGAAGGTCTCTGGAGGCTCAGCTATCGCTTAACCTGAAACCACGATATTTACCATGCCACTACTGTGACATGGACTAACTTCTGTGGTTCAGCGATACGGCTGAAATTGATTCTGGGAGACTGTTAACCTTCCGGGCTCGTGTGGACAAGCGCGGAGAAGTGATCACTCATTGCCCTCTAAGAGATCAAACTATCTACAGTGTTCCATTTACTTCCATTAAGTTTTATTCCTTCTATTAAATAGTTATCGTAGTGCACTGATCAATGCAGCACTCGGCAAGGATACCCTCGTATTATGACCGGAACAAAGCAAAAGCCAAGATCTATCAATTTTGTCTTTTACTGATCTTCCACTCTGACGTAGGCCTCTGCGGAGCTAATGTTGAGTAACACCTTCTCAGCCGAGCTGGAATATATCCCTCACCTTCGGAGACACGCTTCTAGTAATATCTACGACGATCATGAGAACAACAATGATGCTTAGGACGAGGAAATATTGTTGTATCAAACGCTGCCATGACTTTCAATGAAACCTCGTTATATCTCAACAACTACAACTCATTGGCAGGTAGACAAAAGACCACAGACGCGTATTAAAAGACGCTTGTGCCCTCGAGATAAGCAGATTTTTATTCGTCGATACAATCGTCTCTTTTAATCTTTACTTCCGAGTCGGCTAGCCGGGAGGTCATCCAAACTTCGCAAATAACTCGACGATCAGTTTCCATAACGGCCTTAAGATGCTTGACTAAATTATTCGACGGCAGTCATTCTCGACCTAAACTTTTCTAACATCCTTCTACGACCTTCGGTTTGTCCTGCGACACGAATTAGAGGGACAAGGAGGATTCTAAGAAGGAAGAGAGATGCTCTTGTGTATACACAGGTCTGGTGCGATCAGCTGGCTAGCCTCTTTGTATTAGGGGATCCCGCACCTAATGGTTTTTGAGATCTTTTTTAGCAGCTACATACTCATAAATGACCCTCATGGTGTTGACCAGAGAGGCTAGATAATAATGGGATAACGGCTTCTCAAAGTTTGTACTCTAACGAGGAGCTGTAGCAGTACAAATGCCGGAAAGAAGCTATGAATAATTCAAAAAGGGAGAATCCTGCCCCAGGCATAGATACTTCAGGTGCCTTGAAGAAACGGTCTACATGTCTTGGTAGGATACTAAAGCAAAAACGCACAGACTATAATCAGGCCTCAGACATATTCTGTCCAACGTGACCAAGACTTAAGCACGGCGGGCTGTATGGTAATTTTGGCGACAAAATGGAGTTGAGTAGTTGTTTGAGGCAAACTTGGCCATAAGTTTTCTCATTGTGGTAACAGGCAAGAGAAATTACAGGCGTTGAAAGAAGCCTAATTTTATACCATGTGAGTTGTAGCAACCGAAACCCCCAATCTTGAGGCCCCTTGGTCGACAACAGCTCGTCCAGCTGAATGAGGCCGTGAGACGCGTAGACACCGTCACCGACCCCTATCAAGTCAGTCAGGTGGGAGCGGTACTAGAGCGTAAAGGTGGGGCGTCGAGGGGCGTGACCTGCTTTAATGGGTATCCGAGACACGCTGGCCGGGAGATTTGTGCCGCACAGTTGTTGGTCGACAGACAGCTGGTGCATGATTAGTGGGTGGAATCTCTAGTCTCTATCAATGGAATGGCCTGCAATGATGGTGGGAGAGAATATGGCCAGCAGTGATGTGAAAGATATCTAGGAAAACGAGCGGGAAGAGTGTGTTCGGAAACTGCAGGTTACGTTGGTTCCCGCCAGCAGACTTTCCGATGCCGAGCTAAGAAATCCGTCGGCTCTTGGATCTCACTCCAAGTCACGTAGACTGTGAAAAGTGGGTCCTTAGCTGGTTTCACGCAGCGGATGGCTGGAGCCGAAAGGTGACGCCTTGACTCGGGTAGGATTCGCCGGTATCATTTTTTCTGCACAGTCGGAGGCCTCCCATAGACAAGCGTGGCTACTCAGCAGTGGCAGAGGACGACTCGCAGTCAAGATTCATAGTGCGTACCAAGGTGCGTCTGATTGTGCAGGAATTAAGTAGAAAGGGCCCGACGTCACGAGCTAAATGAGTGCAGCAAGCGGAATCCGAGACCGGGGGACCTTCGCGTGCTGTCATGAGGCTGAGGAAGACAAACAAACACCAGCGACAGAAAATTCCAGTTTAGAGAGTTATTCAAGACTCTATTCAATCCACCATTCGCGCAACTTGTGCCCTCAAAGGACCACATGTGGAACATAACTATTATTCACCGCGCATCCACGGCACACAACGCACACAGTTCCGACGATGCTCCAGATGCAGTTCAAGGGCAGCGACGCCGGGGCCAGCCGATGCACAAAGCTAGGACTTGCTAGCCTTATCAAGGGCATGTATCCCCCACATTAGCAGCATGCTTGGCCTGATTTCTTTGTGTGCTACCCCTCCCCCACCAAGCTGGCGCCCATCTTACCTCATACTTGCTTCTTCCCTGCCCCAGGTCTAGCGGTTCGCTGCTGTTATTACATAGCCACGTGATGAACTGGCATCACGCTAGGCATGCACCCACTTCTCTGCTCCCTGCTAGCCTCACGCTCATACTTGTGTTATGGTGATAACAAATTTAATTTATACCTGCCTTTGGTCCGGTCAATCCTTATCCAACTCTTCGACACAAGCCGACCATAAACAACCCATCTCCACACATCATGGGAAGCCAAACTATGACTCTCAAGTTGATTCTCAGTAATGCAAGTCAACCATCATCCTCTTCACCCTGCGAACCCGATTTTCTCCTCGTGCTGATTGAAGCTCTAAATATACATCTTCCATATCCGATCGAAGTAGGTTCGAATATCGAGTCCCTTTTCCGCGCACCCGAGTTAAACCTTTGGATAGTACACTGGTGACCCCACGCAAGATGTATCTCATCTAAGCACTCAACTAGACCTTGCAACACGGAGCTATTTCCTGAAGAATTATTCATACAAATTCAGCAGCAATCCTCTCCCAAGGCGTCTATCCAAGCCCTCCAAGCCCTTCGCTTTTACAGATTTATTCAGCTGCCCAACCTCTACCCCCCAACTCATCGATGCCCACATTCTTACGCGCGGCCTCTCAGTAAATAATAATATACCGCGCCCGTATGCGAATTTAATTGCCGCTGATCTATACGCTGCCATGAAGAAATGCCTATGCACCAGTCCTGCACAAGATTGGCAGGTCCAAGTCTACCATCGAATCTACAGCGAGGACCTAGGTATTTTACCTAACTGGGCCATTGATGCTGTCTGGCTCTGGAAAGTGGTCATAGCCGTAGATTGGCGAAAGTCTCCGTCGATCCGCAGAAAATTTCTACTTCTCAACTACGCCGGAGTGGCCTATGCAACCAAAGAGATGCCAGACCCATACGCTGAATGATGACGGAATACCACCACGTAGAAGATTTCTGGAGCGAGCCCCACTTATCTTTATTTGCTTATCAGCTCTGTGGCTGTTGCAAAAATACTGAAACTGAAACCCACAAGCGCAAGGGCCCTCCATTCATGCCTTGGATACTCATAGTGCCTGATAGTATCTCTATCTGCATCCCAGTTGGCGCTCTTACAACGACCTGGAGCCTGAATAGGTACCCAATCGCAAAGAGCATTGAGCGAGTGCGACTTTTAGAATCCTTCAAAAAACTACAATTTTGTCACACTACCAGCAGTAAATGATACTTGAGCTAACTGTTATGGTTATGGTCACAGGGTACTTGGTAACTTCTGAAATTGATTCGTGCGAATTATTGACCAACTTAATATTTGACAGAAAAGGGCTGTTATGGGTTTTGATATTTGCATGGCCAGACCAGAGTTCGAGCAACTAAAGACTTCACTTGCAGTGATTATTTCAGAGATTTACTGTATACCGCCGCTTCATCCACGAGTTTATCTGTAATTGATGAATTTCAAGGCCAGCACAATCAACATTTCAGCTGATATAGAATGGGAATGCTTGAATGAAAGGAATCACATGTACTTTGGCCGTTAATTTTACACTTGACCCTATAGACTTCGGGATATGCTAGATACTATATGTTAATGGTCATCGGGGGATAGAATACGATACTGCTACTATATAAATTGTGCATCCTCTTTAAAAATAAGAGTCTTCAAATACAATAAGGAGCTTTGACCTGTGAATTTCTATTTCTTCATTCTGTGTGCCATTAAGAAACTTATTAGAAAATTTTATACAAAAAACTTGTGTCGGCCTGTCCTACATACTCCCTAATCTAGTTGATCGTCATAAGTGGGTTCGTTGAACCTGGCAGGCGAGGGCTGGGCCACTGCAGGACCGCTCCTGTAGCTTGTCAAGTAACTGAACGACAAACCTTCTCATCGTACTAGGCCTACGCCGAGCAACCCAGTAGCCAATCTCTCTGTTTCTAAATGGGTACAAGATGCTAACAGCGGCCACTAACCGCACACAGCTTGTTGAAGCCCAGTGTTATTATGAGAGTTCGGTAGAGAAACTAAAGCTGTTAGACTCATATTTTACACCACCGTGTGAAACGAGTTTGCAGATTAAAGAGTCTGAAAGCTATGGTGGAGAAGTGTTGGTTAAACCCAGTTAATAACAGGGTGCTATATAAACTAAGTAAACCCACTAAGCGAAGGACACGATTGACTTGCTTAAATAAGATCATTGTGCGGCTGGTTAATGTATAAGTTATTATGAACCTGACAAGTAAGGCTTGCACATTTTTACGTTTCATCTTAATGATAGTTTTCATTTCCAGGTAGAACCAATTTCATACCTAGAACATAAATATTGTTGAGATGTAGAGTGGTTGTTTATTGTCCTAAAAATTCTATAACTATGTAAGGACATGTAGGTCCTTTCTGCCTACAGGCCGGGAGTATCTATGCCTCGGGTATTGTAATCCCTCCTTTGCCTCCCTCACGACTTCTTTCCAGCAGCAATACCCCCACAGGTCTTCATTCGAGTACACACTTAGAGGAGCCGTTATCCCCCCTTTCCAGCTAACGAAACGATGGCCATTTTCGGGTGTGTAGCTGCTGGGAAATATCTAAAAAACCACTGGGTGCGGGGCTCTCTTATGACGAAGAGGTCGGCCAGCCGCACGCAGCAGACTTGTGTATACCTAAGAGTGTCTCTCAACCTTCATAGCCTCCTCCTTTCTCCCCCCCTGATTCATGCCACAGGACAAATCGAAGGTCGTGAAAGGATGTCAGAAAAGTCTTGGTCGAGAGTGACAGTCGTGAAGGAGCCTAGCCTAGCATCCAAAAGTCGTTACGGACGTGGGGTCGTCGAGTAGCTCATGTATTTCAGATGCCCTCCTGGCTAGTAGATTCGGAGGTATACATTAGTAGGGACGATATTATTCACGAGTCGAAATCTGCTTTTCTTGAGGGCGGAAGGGTCTTTTACTTTGCTTTCGTGGGCTTTTTGTTCGCCCGTCTGTGGGTAACACATGTTGTGATATAACGAGGGCCTCTCTGACTAACATTGTAGCGTTTGGTACCGCATTATCTTTCCTCATCCCCAGCATCATTATCGTCGTCTTGGTCGTCTCATGTGTTATCGGAAGCGTATCTTTGACGGAGGGGGAGATAACTCAGCTCAAAGTTGATAAGGTGTTACTCAATCTCGGCTCTGTAGACTCTACAGTGAGAGCTGGAGGTTCGTAAGGGACACCACTGACAGGTGTTGAGAAAAGTCCCGTTTGAGATGTAAAGAATCTATCGCTCTCATGTTTACCTGGCTATTAGAGGTTACCGTCTAGGCAGGAAATTTGCGTGGAATTTTCCTTGAGAAAAACATAAGTCACGTGACATCCACCTTTCGTTTTTTAAATAATTTTATTAAAGAAATCATGACCCCTCGGTCATTGAGGTTGTAGAGCGCGTTGATTCAAGTAACTACCGATATGAAACTAAGTACAGAATTTGCAGTCACATGTAGATCAGCAACATGGCCCACTTGATAGCCCCGATTATTCTAGATTCCAACAAAAGTAACATTTATTCAGTTATCATGATATGACACATGACCGGTGCCACCATACCTGAATAAATTTGAGAAAATCGATGAGATACCCTATTATCGTCTCATACCCTTTCATCCGCATACATTTACACTAATTCGACTTCTCATAGCAGCAAGTCCCCAGATCTCCAACATGTCTCCGGAGCTTGCCAAATCATCGCGGCTCTTTCGCTACAAAAGAATTATGGACAGAATGAATAACAAGCTGAAAAAGCACTTGGAACGCAAAGTAACACCATTTAGCTCGATAGACGTGCGAAAGATGGAATTGGACATGGCCGAGAGGATAAGAGCCTTCGAAGAATACTCGAACTCCACTAACCCAGATATTGAGATGGGTGATGCGGCCGATATTCAATTTATCATAGAGGGGCTTGAGAGCTCGCGGTGGAATAAACAGGAACCCAAAGACGGTCAGGCCTCAGGGGCCCCCCTTAATATAAACACAAGGAAGATCGTGTGCCGGCCATGAAGCGGATATCTAATGTCGATGTATAAAGCCCGACGGAGCCGCGTCCACCACAACCCCTCAGAATACCATTCCGAGGGAAATTGGAAACGAGCAAACTTCTTGCAGCGACAGTAGCTCCAAAAATACTGCGGATTCTCCTCCCGAGCTTTGAGCTATACTTGAAGCCGAAGAACAGCGAGCGGCCCAGACCGCAACTAATCTTACAATATGCACCGTTGCTATTAATGACGTGGAGAATACGCTCTCACCTCTATCCAAAGGGTCGAGCGTTCAGTCTATAGACTCCATGAAAGTCTACCTCCGAGCCGCAAGAGCACAATTCATGATGTCGGGACCAGGAACAGCTCTACCCAATCTTCCCCCACGACCAAACTACTGGAATCATGGCGGAAAGATCGTGGAACAAGCGATTGAAAAGCAGCCAGAGCTTCTACAAAAAGCGACCCAAGCCAAGGTGACTCAGGTCAAACCTAACAGGGCGACAGTTACCCGAACTGGACTCAAGACGCCCCCGGTACCAATGAAAGATGTTCGAGTCCATAATAAACCCTCTATATCAGCGAAACCTCCAGTAAAGGCTATGACAATAGCCGCCCAAGATGATCGTTTGTTTCTTCGGTTCGGCAAAGACCACGCTGGCTGGCGTGCGAGATACGGCAACAAAGGTACTTGAGCTTTCCTCACAAACCATTGAATATGTAAACTGTGTTCCGGCTGGTTTCGAACTTTGAGTAAAAAACCAGGAAGTACGACAGCTCCATATATACTCTGCTAAATCGCTCGTCCAGGTAGACGCAAGGTTGGATAAGGCCTTAGGTCTAGTGGCACTTTGTATTGCGACATTTCCAGTCGCTATTCATATACTCCTGGGAAAAGTAGTTGTCACTGACGAGATGGTGGCCGACGAAATCACTCGAGTTACCAATGAAGTTCCGGCAAGGGTCCGCCCTCATGGAAAAGGACGAGTCGGATCCCCCTACCAGATATGGGTGACTCACTTCGAAATAGCTTCCGTCCCTCGACTGGGCTTCCGACTATTCGACGACTCGGGAATCGCTGTTCGAAATCAGCCCCGCTCAACTGTGAGCCAATGCAAGCGATGTCTCCTATACCACGAGACTCAAAGTTGCTCGCGCACCGCAGTATGCTGGAACTGCACCTCAAAAATGCACTCCTCGTCAGAATGCAAAGAACATACAAAGTGCCGCAACTGTGGGGGCCTCACCGATCGAGCAGCTGAGATTGCCTAGCTCGCTCCACCAAGCCTCGAATAGCCTCAAGGAAAAATCTCGTGACTATCAAGCAAGCTAGCCAACGCGAATATGCCGCGGTGGTCCGAGCAAAAACTGCAGTTCGACGAGCAGAGGCCGCTATCAAAGCAGCCGCTTAAACGGACAAAATAAGTTCACTGAACTTCAGCTCTAAAAATAGCTATGATGTTCTAATGATAGACGAGACGCCAAATGTGACTGAGGTCACAGAGGCGACCATTCCAAAAAATCACTCACGAAGGGCGCCACACGGGCCTCTTTCTACCTCCCTCCTACTCTAAGTTTTGTTGAAAGTCATGCGATAAATCTGTAATTGTATCACGTGTCTCGCTTAGAATTCCACACTTTCCGTAATTGTAAAGTGTGTAGATAATTGTAAGAACAAGAAAAGGTGTACCAATAGTTGTAGTTATAACACACACAATAAATTATATATATATTTATATTATAAGGAATCTGATTTCGAGAGCAAGTATCCACACGCAGCTGAATATATAGCTGGTATGCAGTATACTCTTAACTCCACTGTCGCATAAATCACAACAGGTTATGAGCCCGGTAGCAAAAGCTAATAGGTCAAAAGATTTCTTAACCTCAACCTAAATTAATTATACGAAAAGGTG